GTCCTCTATCAGGTGATGCTTGCTCCTCCATCAGATGATGCTTGCTCCTATATCAGGTGATGCTTGCTCCTATATCAGGTGATGCTTGCTCCTACATCAGGTGATGCTCCCTCCTCCATCAGGTGATGCTTGCTCCTCCATCAGGTGATGCTTGCTCCTCCATCAGGTGATGCTTGCTCCTCCATCAGGTGATGCTTGCTCCTCCATCAGGTGATGCTTGCTCCTCCATCAGGTGATGCTTGCTCCTCCATCAGGTGATGCTTGTTCCTCCATCAGGTGATGCTTGCTCCTATATCAGGTGATGCTTGCTCCTACATCAGATGATGCTTGCTCCTCCATCAGGTGATGCTTGCTCCTGCATCAGGTGATGCTTGCTCCTCCATCAGGTGAACCTGTTCCTCCATCAGGTGATGCTTGCTCCTCCATCAGGTGAACCTGCTCCTCCATCAGATGATGCTTGCTCCTCCATCAGGTGATGCTTGCTCCTCCATCAGGTGAACCTGCTCCTCCATCAGATGATGCTTGGTCCTCCATCAGGTGATGCTTGCTCCTCCATCAGGTGATGCTTGCTCCTCCATCAAGTGATCCTGCTCCTACATCAGGTGATGCTTGCTCCTCCATCAGGTGATGCTTGCTCCTACATCAGGTGATGCTTGCTCCTCCATCAGGTGAACCTGCTCCTCAATCAGGTGATGCTTGCTCTTCCATCAGGTGATGCTTGCTCCTACATCAGGTGATGCTTGCTCCTCCATCAGGTGATGCTTGCTCCTACATCAGGTGATGCTTGCTCCTCCATCAGGTGATCTTGCTCCTCCATGAGATGATGCTTGCTCCTCCATCAGGTGATGCTTGCTCCTCCATCAGGTGAGCTTGCTCCTCCATCAGGTGATGCTTGCTCCTACATCAGGTGATGCTTGCTCCTCCATCACCTGATGAAGGAGCAAGCATACACTCCGAAACTTGTTATTCACAACAAAGAAGTTGACATCCATAAATCTTGCTTTTCTTATGCTTTCTACTTCTAAATGCCCTTCAAGGTATTGAGTTTAGTTTATTATTTAGCGAGTCGTTTAGAATAGTGTAGACTACGCAGTCGTAGTCTCTTAGAAAACTTCGAGAGGGTAACGGCACTGTTGGGTTATAGTGAAGTCATGGAAGCCAGCTGAAATGATCACATTAAGAAGTCACGAAGCGCTATTCAGGCTTGCTCCCTGGTTACGGTTGATAGCGGGTTTGGATCCCCCTGTTTGGTTTCTTGCAGCTTCCATTGACCCTCGTTGTTGTTATGAGACAGGACACTTTAGAACATTTTATAGAAGATAGTTTATTCGGGTTTTTTGGACATCGATCGGCCCATGTACATCATGGAACATAAATATACTGAGAGAAATAAATAAAGGAACACAGGAAAATTCAAGCGTTCCTTTGATATTTTCCAGTTTTCATCACCAGCCTTCAATAGCTCTGTGGGAGGAAATCTGAGAATAAATATAGGAACACTGCCATGAAGTGGTGTTCCCTTATTTGTTTCCCTCAGTATATAATGATATGATGAAAATGACAATGATTATACAATGCGGAGAGACAAGCAGTATGTAACATATTTTGTTACATTTAGAATGATTTCATGATCTTTACTGCATAGTGCATGCTAGTAACGTATAAGAATAAAAGTAGGGTTATCAGAAAATCTAGATGGTAGATATTTACTTCTTATCAAATTATCCATTGGGCAGATAAACAAAGAGTGTGTAACATCTTCAACTACATTATCATTACAATTCTTACAGAAACACAAACATTTATCTATACCCTGCCTACGACCAATAGTTGTTTGAATAGGTAACTCGACTAATCTAAATAAACATAAATATCTCCTAAACTCCCAATTTCTAATATTTATGATATAATATTCTGTGTCAAAACCGATTTTAACTGGAGATAATATTTTAACCTCTAGTTAAGGGGACACTTAGTGACTTACAACATGACGGTTGATGTAAATATAGCCAATGGAATTGGTAATGGTTGTCTTAAAGTAACTGAAGAATACACTATTTAAAGCAGACATTGAAATTTTAAGCTTATTGTCTGTGTTCTTGTGTCAACAATGTTTCGTGACATCTATATTGTACGTATGTGTTTTATGCGGTAAATCGTTTTGAAAAAAAATTATTTACCATTTTTTCAGGGAAAGACAGGTCAGAGTGTGGTGACAATGCTTTAGATACATGTAAAATTTCGAACCTTTTTAAAGTTACAATGACAGGCGATTATATTTTCGAACAAATAACAACTCTATCGTGACAGCAGTGTAAAAGAACAAAATGAAATTTGTCCTTTGTTGTGTCAGGAAGAGAAATGTATTGAAAGTGAGAGATTGAATTAGGTTTGACGCTGCGTTAAAACTTCAGTAAAAGTCCCACGTAGTATACATGGCGGCCTGCTAACTCGTAGGAAGAAAGCCCGGAGTAATCTATGTCTGAATGAACCACTTTGGTGAAATCTTCGAGGATCTTTATGATGCTGACAAACCTTGAGTGACTGAGAGAGTGGCCGAGTTGGGGTTAACGTTATTTTAAGCAATATTGCAGCAATATCAGGGTTGGAGACCGAAATGCGCTTCTCACATTGTAGGGAATCGAACCCGGACCTTCGGCGTGACGAGCGAACACGTGAACAACTAGGTAAACCCTGTCAAGCCTGGAAAGATAATTTGAGTGAATGTAGGATTTAAAAAAACGATCGTAGTTCTCTGGCACGCGGGGTGGTGGGGTAGCCTTGTGGTTAAAGTGTTCGCTTGTCATGCCGAAGACCTGGGTTCGATTCCTCACATGGGTACAATGTGTAAAGCCCATTTCTGGTGTCCCCCGCCGTGATATTGCTGGAATATTGCTAAAAGTATGTGTCTGTGTGCATGTGTTTATTTGTGCGTATGTACGTGCGCGTGCGCGTGTGCGTGTGCGTGTGTTTGGTGTATGTCTGCGAGTATCCCTTGAAACATTTAAGCGTAATACATGTTATAATATAGTTCGCCCCGAATGAACCTTTGTATTTCAAGCAATGACGACTTGCTGTACACCGAATCTCGTATGCTGAAACATTAGTGAGTTAATCAAAATTCGTTGATTCAGGAAGAATCCGTATCCTTACATTGGAAACAAAAAACTCATGTTTCACTGACAGAGTCAGGAGAATATACTTATACTTCGATATTATCGTCACGCAAATACACCCTATGATCAACCTCTCTGCCTTTACTGCCACTCTGCTGGCCTAAACTATGTTGAAGACGAGCTTCATGTCCTACTTATCTGTGGTAAATATTCTGAAATAAGAAAGAAGTGTTTCACAAACCACCAGACCTGCCCTCCAACAATTGAAACCTTTGTGCGTTTTATTACCTGTAACAACATAAATTATATAAAATCATTAAGTACGTACATTCCTCTCTGCTGTATTAAAACTACGAAGTAAACCCACCAGGACAATCAACTGACCCTGTATTCCAATCGTTATCCTACATCCAGCATGTATGTATTATCTATATTTGCACTATGTTGTATTATTGGCCAATGACCTACGTTATACTGGTTAAAAATCTCATAATTGATGATTGGCTCATTACAACCGATCAATCATCGAAAATAATTGGTTAGCGTCCTTTTCTGAAATTTTCCTGATTATTTTTGTTAACGGACAAAAAAAAATAAATAAAAAAACCCTGTAGTTCTTTGGTGTTTTTGCAAATTGCACAAAAGGCATTGGCAAATTTCACATCTTTAAAGGATGACTAGTAGGTTAGGAACATTAATTTCTTGGGGTCTTTAAGATACATTAAATCATGACTTGAAACGAGCTTGTAGTGGTCATGAAATGTAACAGACAAAACCAGCCTTGCGAAAAATATTGTTAATGCAAACAAGTGTGCCAGAATTGTTTGTGTTCGAGAAAACATGATCGATTGCTTGGTTGTTTAGTCACTGCGACAAATCTTCGATTATTTCAATTAATCGGACCACCACTACTACGTTACTGAAATAAAATATGTCTGTCTATCTGTCTGTCTGTGATATTATCAGCCGATGTTTATATGCACCAGCCGATGTTTGAGTAAAACTTTATGAAAGTATATTTACAAACGTTTCTCACCTTTATTATAATAGGGTATTTATATAGCGCACATATCCAGGCAACTACTGCATGCTCAAGGCGCTGGTATTTTGGATGGATCATTGGATGTCAATCTCAACGGCACATCGTATTATCAGTCTCAACTCCCTGGGGAGTATGCAACTCTAGGCGGACCGAGTTATTGTGGCTTTCTCATCATAACAAGGTACCCATTCACAGCTGGGTGGACTGGGACACATAGTCACAGTACTTTGTCCAAGTTCACTGCACCCGCAACTAGGTGTATTCATGTGGCCACCATGTGGTCATATACCAACGGATCTGTGGGTTCTTTTAAGTGCACAAGGTTGTGTACTGTACACTAGGGGTTGTGACAACACTGAAAGAGTCTGCACACAAAGTTGACTCCAAGGTTTTTACACCCGGTCACATGTGGGCTCGATCCCGACACCTCATGCTCGCTGGATCAATAGCCTGGCGCCTTAGCCAGCTCGCCCACCGTATTTCACCATGATACTAACTTGATTGTTTTCTTCTTATTTGCTCGCGATACATTAACGCATGCTCATGATACAGTCAGAGGCTTTCAATGGAATCAGGGCGGTGGGGTAGCCTAGGGGTTAAAGTGGTTAAAGCGTTCGCTCGTCACGCCGAAGACCCTTGTTCGATTCCCCACATGGGCACAATGTGCTTAGTCTATTGCTGGTTTAACCAGTCGTGATATTGCTAGAATATTGCTAAAAGCGGCGTAAAACTAAACCCACTCGCTCAATCGAGTCTTCTTTTGGCAGGGAATTCTCAGAAGAAGAGGGTTTTGTCCCTGATATTTTTCACGCATTGTTACTTGACAAGCAACAGGCAAACTGTAATTTAAATCTTTTATTGGAAAGAAGATTTGAGTACAAGCATGACATTGATAGATTGGTGGGTTAACAAAAGATTACACATGTGCATATTGTGACAATATTGATTTCTGAAACTTTGTATAGACGAAAAACTATGAATGAACATGAAGTATAACTGTAGGTAACATCTCATCTAGCCCTTTCTGCAGGTCAGTGTGAGATGAAGCAGACAAAGTGCGAAGTTGTGCTTTCAAGACACATTCCAGATATTGAGATTGTGAATGCATATCATGAGATTGTGAATGCATATCTTTACTTTGTGAATGTATGTCTTTACTTTGTGAATGCATATGCTAAATACTTTGTGAATGCATATCTTTACATTGTGAATGCATATCATAATATTGTAAATGCTTATCTTTACATTGTGAATGCACATGTTTTCATTTTGAATGCATGTCTTTACATTGTGAAGGCATCTCTTAAAATTGTGAATACATATCTTTACTCTGTGCATGCTTGTAAGATATGCAGACAATGCATGTATTTTGAACCATACGCCTTGCAGATAAACGCCCGTATGTTCGTGCTCGTGACGTTCGACATGTGACAAACATACCAAGTCATGAGAGGGTTTTACTGACAAACACACTAAGTCATGAGAGGGTTTTACTGACAAACATATCAAGTCATGAGAGGGTTTTACTGACAAACATACCAAGCCATGAGAGGGTTTTTCTGACAAACATACCAAGCCATGAGAGGGTTTTACTGACAAACATACCAAGCCATGAGAGGGTTTTGCTGACAAACATACCAAGCCATGAGAGGGTTTTACTGAGAAACATACCAAGTCATGAGAGGGTTTTACTGACAAACATACCAAGCCATGAGAGGGTTTTACTGACAAACATATCAAGCCATGAGAGGGTTTTACTGACAAACAGGATTTCCTGTCCTTGTGATGCCGTGGTTCTAATGCCAAACTGGATATAATGTCATCTGCCAATGGCTTTTAGAACAAACGTCATTGTTCCCTGGTTGTAATGCCAATTACAGTGGATGCATGTAGTATACATACCTTAATTGGTTAATTGACATGACGCAAATTTATTGACCAAACTCATGATGGACAGATTCAAGCGGATGATGAGAAGAGCCATGTGTTCTTATTGCTGGACAATCTGATCTGAGTCACCTAGCCTCAGATGTATTTGAAATATATATTTTGAACGATGAATGATAGCAAGTTCACATAAAATTCGTAAATAAAGGGTTATTATGATAAATTATGTTCTGTATGCTTTATGCTCAATGCAGAAACAACTCGTTGGTAGCTGATATTTCTATATATATGCCAAACTTCAGACAATAGCCTCGTTATTGTTTTACTTCATTTTTACCTGTGTGTTCTTGTTTCCATCTTGGGATTAAAGAAACAGTGAAACTTGATCAAAGTCTGAAGAAATGGTTTCATATGTGATGAATTATACCTTCACGAATGGTTCATATGACCCTTTAAGGAACAAGGTGAAATTAAACGAAAAGCTTTTTAAAATGGGTAAATATGTATTTTGATTGTTGGTCTGATATGTAGGCTGATATGAAGGCTGATTGTTGGACTGATATGTAGGCTGATTGTTGGTCTGATATGTAGGCTGATTGTTGGTCTGATATGTAGGCTGATTGTTGGTCTGATATGTAGGCTGATTGTTGGTCTGATATGTAGGCTGATTGTAGGCTGGTTGTTGGTCTGATATGTAGGCTGGTTGTTGGTCTGATATGCAGGCTGATTGTTGGTCTGATATGTAGGCTGATTGTTGGCCTGATATGTAGGCTGATTGTAGGCTGATTGTAGGTCTCTACGCCTTCATGGTAAGCTGCACAACGACACACATCAGTACCGTCGCTGGAAAGGTGATCACGTGATCTGCTGCGGACAAAACACTCTCTGAAAAGGAGTAAACAGCTTATAAAATCGATTTGCTTGTACCAAAAGATATTACTGAATAAGTAATGCTATTCGATTCATTATTTCGCAGCTGTTGAATTATGTTTTCATCAGAATATAAAGCATCTCACCACACTTTCCCCCCGTGTATCCCGCCATACATTTGCAGCCCCGGGCTTCGCACGTGCCTTTGTTGTTACAGTCAGCGTTGGTGTTGCAGGCTGAAACAGATGATAGTGACGTCACACATGATGCTGATACATCTGAAGGAGTGGTTCCCCACCATGAAAAAACAAACTGGTTATTGGCATGAGAGTCAGCTGAAGACGTACCGAACTGACCATGCCGTGATCGTCTCATGACACAGCTGGGAACAGCTGTACAAAGCGATCTTAGAGCTAAGGTGATCGTAACTCTCATACCTTAACACAGATTTATGGCGACAGTCGAACTGCTAAGGTGATCGTAACTCCTATACCTTAACACAGATTTATGGCGACAGTCGTACCGCTAAGGTGATCGTAACTCCCATACCTTAACATAGACTTACGACAATCGTACCGCTAAGGTGATCGTAACTCCCATACCTTAACATAGACTTACGACAGTCGTACCGCTAAGGTGATCGTAACTCCCATACCTTAACACAGATTTATGGCGACAGTCGAACTGCTAAGGTGATCGTAACTCCCATACCTTAACACAGATTTATGGCGACAGTCGTACCGCTAAGGTGATCGTAACTCCCATACCTTAACATAGACTTACGACAGTCGTACCGCTAAGGTGATCGTAACTCCCATACCTTAACATAGACTTACGACAGTCGTACCGCTAAGGTGATCGTAACTCCCATACCTTAACATAGACTTACGACAGTCGTACCGCTAAGGTGATCGTAACTCCCATACCTTAACATAGACTTACGACAGTCGTACTGCTAAGATGATCGTCACTCATACCTTAACATAGACTTACGACAGTTGTACCGCTAAGGTGATCGTAACTCCCATACCTTAAAATAGACTAACGACAGTCGAACTGCTAAGGTGATCGTAACTCCCATACCTTAACATAGAATTACGACAGTCGTACCGCTAAGGTGATCGTAACTCCCATACCTGAACATAGACTTACGACAGTCGTACCGCTAAGGTGATCGTAACTCCCATACCTGAACATTGACTTACGACAGTCGTACCGCTAAGGTGATCGTAACTCCCATACCTTAACATTGACTTACGACGGTCGTACCGCTAAGGTGATCGTAACTCCCATACCTTAACATTGACTTACGACAGTCGTACTGCTAAGATGATCGTAACTCCCATACCTTAAAATAGACTTACGACAGTCGTACCGCTAAGGTGACAGATGAACTCCCAGTAGGCTGACGTAAATCAGGCCTTGTTACGACGTAAATTGTAATAAAAACGCAAATTGTAACACTTGCAGCAAATTGTAATAAACTTGACGTAAAAACTAATAAAAACGTAAATTGTAATAAAAATTGACGTAAATTGTAATAATTTTCGTTGCGGTAACATGTAATAAATGTTAACGTAAATTGTAATAACAGTTTTAATCACTCGTAAATACGCGGGTGTTTGTTTTTCGTTGCATTTCATACATCAAATAAGCTTGTTAGGGCGATAACTCAAGAAAGAAATGATGGATTTTGTTCAAATTTGGTACCAAGGTATATTGGCGAGATTCACCGACACAAGTGAAATGGCGTGACCTTGAGATAATATAAAGATTGATAGCGCGATAACCCAAGAATGAATTGACAACTGATATGTATACATATAAAGTGGGGGTGGGGTAGGGGTGGGTTTCTAACGGGTATATCTAACACACTTGCATGCATGTAGAGTAGGAGAGGTGGGTGGGTGTTCGGGTATAACTACGAGGGACGTTCAAATAGTAGTCAGCCTCACCTAGAATATGACACAAATGCAGCTGTTTTTATGTTTTATTTTTCTACATATTATCAGTCAGCCTCAAACAAATTGGTTTTGCTATGTTGCAGCCTCACGATCCCCATTTTGTGAGACTTTGTATCTTGGCTTGGTACTCCCAAAAAACGTAAAATCTGCAATAAAATGCATCACAAACTTCAGGAAACAAAATATGCTATGTTTGAGATTAGTAGAAGTCGGCTAGAATGAAACATAGACATTAAACTTCACAAAAACGCAATTTCAAAACTACAATCGCTTGTTCAAATGACTCCCCATTCTGTTTACTGAAAGAACTCGAGAAAGAAATGATGGATTTTGTTCAAATTTGGTACCAAGGTTTATTGACTGGAGATTGAGATTTACCGACACCACTTGAATTTAGTGACCTTGAGGTCATTTTAAAGGTCACAGCGAAGGTGTAACAGTTTTGCACATGCCAAGCTTGGTAGCCGCGAACTCAGGAAAGTATTAATAGATTTTGATCCAATTTTATATCAAGGTGTATTGGCGGGATTCCCCAACACCAATTGATTGGAAAACTTGTGCTCATTTTAAGTTCACAGTGAAAAGTGTTTTGCACATGTCTAACTTTTTTAGTGCGAAAATACAGAGAGAATTAATATGTTTTGCTTAAAGGTACCAAGATGCGTTGGGAGTATCGTCTAACGCCAGTCCAATTCAGTGACCTTCGGATTATTTTCAAGGTCACAGCGAGTATTCTTGCGATATCTCCAAACCTAATGGATGGAATTTGTTCGCATTTTGTATCAAGGCATCAGATGACAGTTTCGGTAACGTTTACATAATTTTCAGGGTCAGACAGAGGATAATTGCGACATTCAGATATCGACATGTGGCGGGGTAATAGCTTTGTTTGTGACAAACTACTAATTTTCAAATTTTTGTTAGCATATGGTTTCTATAATTTCATGTTAATTCTACCAGCTGTAGAAATTATTCGTGACACGTCTTAAAAAAGCCAGAGATTATTTGTGTATGTTTAAAGTTAATTGTTTTCATTATGGAGTTATTTTCGATGTTGACGCAAGGACATATTTTACGAGCAATAGCTTTCAATAATTTAATGTTATTTCTATTACATTTTGAAGTTCTTCATAGCATATCCCAAAATAGCAGGATATTGTTTGTTTACGCTTTGAAATGTACGTTTCTTTTTCTTCATTTTCGAATTATTTTCAATGTTGACGCAATGACATATTTGAAGTTAATTTAATGTTTTAATCATATGTGATTTATTATGATTTATGTTTCGATCATACATTCATATATTGCGTTGTCATAGTTTAACCTGGTTCGTATTATTTTCTTCATCATATTACTACATGTTATTGTATTTTTATGAGAGGGAATTTTAAGTTACATTTGCTAAGGATATCATAAATCGCTGGCACCTGGTTATTCCTTGTCACATAGCAGTCAATCTGTCTACTCATTTGTTGTATTTGATTGATGCATATAAAATAAAATGTAGAAATGATATTGAATTGCATCATTTGCTTCAAGGAATCGATCAGATGTGCTCGTTATCAAAGTAAAGTCAAAACTTCTTTCTGTAAGGTATACAGTGGAAGTTGACACCTTAATTGTTATGGGTAGACCAAAGAAATCATTTATTTAGTTTCACCGATCAAAATACAACACAGAATTCAACGGGTGGCATTAACCTCAAAGAATGATCATAACAATGCTTATAACATACGAGGGCAAACATATCGGGGATAATTTGTTTTGATGCGATATGCACCGGGTGAAATATCACTTTGTCATGGTGACATGACATCATGAACAATGTTATGACGTCACGTTGCTTCTAAGAAGCCGCCTTCTATATGTATACAACGATGACGGGGAGCCTGCCTTTGTTGGAAAATAGATTATCGCGTAATTTCCGCAATTAAAGACTTCGGTAATAAATAGAAAATTATATTCGTGACCATAATATGCTAGGTTAACGACTTAAATATCGGCATATCCCTTCTCTGGTTCCGAAAATACCAAGACAGTTACCAACGTCCCAATAGTGTCCATATATTTTAGAAATCTATAACAATAAAGCACAACCTCACTACTTTTTTTGATAAATGACAAAGGATTAATCAACCATATTAAAAGGTTTTCAGTCTTGAAGGACGAAGCTCATTAAAATCTATTGCCAGCTCCCTTTTAGAGACTGATAAAAGGTTCGAAAATGTGGGTCATAATGCATGAAAGTTTTTATTGTTGTTCATACCCGTTAGGCCTCCCGCCTCTACGTGTATTTGATATATAACCGTTAGAACCACCACCACCCCCTCTATGTCTTAAAGTATGCTAGATATAACCGTTAAAACACACCACACCACTTTTCTGCCCATTTATTCAATTGGGCTAAATCATAGTTGAGAGTTGCTTCTATGGATTTTACATATTTTCCCGCAACACCGATTGATGCGTCATCGGCCAACATTATTGTGATATTTTGTAAATTTCCAGGTAAATCATTGATATATACAAGGAACACAAATTAACCAAGGGCAGATCCTTGAGGAACCCCTGCAGTAACATTTAGTTTTTCATAATGTTCCATTAACAGAGACACACTGTCGTCTAGTTAGTTAACCAACTAAATACGTTTCCACGAACACCATCATTTTCTAATTTGTGCAATAAACCTTTATGCCCTGCCCTGTAAAAAGCTTTTGAAATATCACAAAACAGCATACAGTAAAGGTGGTGATTATCTTGGACTGAACATATATTATGATAAATGTCTATGTTGAGATGTAGTAGAATGACTAGCAGTAAAACCTGACTGGAATTTACTTAAAATGTTATGTTCATGGAAATGGTCGTGCACATGCTTTACCATTATTCTTTCAAGGATTTTCCAAAGGATAGGTATTAAACTAATAGGTCTGTAATTAGTTGGGAGGGATGCATTTCCTTCTTTCAAAATAGGAGTAACATTACCCGTTTTCCACAATGTAGGAAATACAGTCACTCAGTGATATATTATACAACAAACAAAGAGGTTCAGCTATAGATGTACAAATTCGTTTTACCCCTCTCATGTTAATGCCATCAGGTCCACTAGATTTGTTTGCTGGTAAGGTCTTATCAGATACCTCCTTTTTTGTTGTCGCATACTTTTGCGTTATTGAAACAAATGTTGACAACTTAAAGATGATGTATGGTGTTATTACAGCAAAGGCTGAGCGGAAGGAGAAATAACATGGTTCCGGCACTGTGAGGCTATT